ATCTATCTATCTATCTATCTATCTATCTATCTATCTATCTATCTATCTATCTAGTCACTAGAAGTAAAAAATGACTTGATGGCATATAATCAATCAATCAATCAATCAATCCAAGGAAGGAGGAAAGAAACCTTTAAAAAGGCAGCAGATAATCACCTAAGTAGGTGGCATGCAAATTGGTGTAATAAATAAAAATGCACTTGGAAGGGGTGGGGGGAAGAAACCAAAGAACTGGGGATTGGTGGAGGTTGCAAAGACCATGTCTGTCACCATCAGAATCAGTGTCTTTTGCAACATTTGGTCATAGCTCTCCACTGTCTCTTTATCTGGCCCAGCGTCACCCAAATCAAATACCTTTATTACGGTATTTGAGCAGCCTTTACAGTAGGAAAAGAGCAATAGCTTGGTGCAGCATTCATTATCAGCGAAATAAAGAAAACACTAAGACAGTAAAACAACATATCTCATTAAAATTTTTGCGTAGTTATATGACTCAATGACGATATTTGGCCACCTGGTATGTGAATTGTAGAGTTAGTGTCCCTTAAAAAATAATAAACATTAAACTGATCAGCCTGGCCCTCAAATTTAGAGATGATTGGGGAGGTCAAAATACATCTTGGGATATCATAAAAGGATACTGTAGGAGAACAGGGTAAGAGTTTCTACCTCCCTGGATCCACAAAGGCAAAGTCTCTGTAGATAAGGAGTCCCATGAACTCTTCCCACCAGCCGTGCTGAACTATCACTCCTTTAAGTCACTCTGACTTACATGTGGCACCTCTTGAAGTCCAATTTTTACCTATTGCTTAGAACAGGAGTTTGGGCAGCCTCTGTCAGTTGAACGTGTGTTTTCCTGTGGCCATCTATGCAGTGGATAGTAGTAATAGGACTAATTTTTTAACACTGTGTTTGTATTGACAGACACATGTGCTCTGGCTTATTAAGGGTGTGGACCAAAGGTTTGCCCATGTGGGAGTATACCTTATGCACTGAGGATTCCCTGAGCAGCGGGCCAACGAAAACCGCTTGAGATAACTGGTCAAGGGAGGAAGCCGAACAGAAGCAATTAAATAGGAGGAGCTTCCTTTTCGACAAAAGATGGACCTTTCAACTTTCTCTGCTCTTCTTTAGAAGTAGCAGCAGGGAATGTAGTATTTCCCAATAAGACGGGGACATTTTTGAAAACAACCCTAGCCCTGAGTTTCCTTTCACTTTTTCAACAGCACCTAGTTTAGCAAAACCAGCCAACCCATAGCGGCCAAACCCTGACACTGATGCTAGGCACTTTATGAGTTCTTATGTTTAGGTAATTAAATATAAACCAAAGAAAGTGAACTCAGGCTTGTTTGCCTGTACCAGCTGAGGATTGGAAACATTAACCATAAGTTTGTCATCTTTCTTTAACTGTATGATTCCTGCCAGGTACAATGTTTTACTCCATTTAGTCTTGTCGATGGAACTGCTGGAGAGGAAGACTGTGCTGAGGGCCCCATCATAAGCCGTATTTTGGTGTGAAATCATCTGGGTCACCATGGTTTCATCAACTGCTGACTTTTCACAGTAAGTGACACCTTCACAAGTACTATCAGGACAGTAGAAAGTGACCTGAGAGTAAACAAAATATCTTCCATCTTTAGGGATGATCAAATGCTTCCCTTCATCACCCAACTTGATTTGGCCTTCACCCTCTTCCTCGGGATTGTACCAATAGAGGGCTGGATACTGTGGTGCCAAACATTTTTCCTTAGAAATCTTATCAAAGTCGGCTGCGGAAAAGAGAAAGTAAACCCATTTCACTGGCAAGTTCATGCTGGAAGTTCAAAGATACAAACAGGCGTCCGAATCCTGTTTTCTAATCTCTTATGTGGAAAGAGGTCAGTTTTATTTTACTAGCAGTGGGTGAATCAATTGTTTCTCTTTCTCCCACGTTGAAGAAACCTCTCCCACCGAAAAGCTCCTTAGCTGTAGCCATTTATTACACACTTATAACCAAGGGCTAGACAGAGCCAGAACAAAATAGCAGATACAGTCATACAGTACACTTAGTTATGACATCATCATATAAGCTAAGGAACTTCTCAGCTAAAAGGTCCATTACATACATCATAAAATGAACCTCTGTACGTCCAAAGCAACAGTTAAGAATTTCTTTTAAAGGACCCTCATGGGGGCCCATGACAAAGAAGCATTTTGGGTGCTGTTCTCAACTTGCTAAAAATTTACCTGCGACATGAACGCTTGGTCGGATGTTTGAATCTGAAATGTAAGGGAAAAAAGAGGTAAAACGATGTCAAACCACCAGAATAGTGTCTGTACACCTAGTGCCCGGTATAGTTCTGCAACCATGTTGTGATAAAATTGCGGGAGACAACTCCCTTATAAATGACAAATGCACAGCTGCTTTTAGGAAAGAAAAGCTTTAATGGGAATCGCGGGACTTCTCTATGGCTACACATCTTCCCCTTTGCATGTACATATATCATATTTGAACACCTGATTTTGATATTAAAACCGCATGTTTCTTGATAGCCTGTTCGATAGCCATAGAATTAAAGAATTCCATACTGTGGGAATAATGTCCCTGGTTAACTGGATTTAATAACTTCTGTTATCGATGGTATTTTTCTTTATACGATTCTCTAGGAAGTTGATATTTTAACTTTGCCTGCTCTTCAATGGCCGATTGTGCAATAGCTTGTTTTCAGGCATTTGTGGGAATCCCGTGTCAGCACACTTGATACTTCCTTTCCACACACAGATGTGGAAACTGCAACTTCCCTGAACATCTGCAAGGCGTCTTTTTGCTGACAGCTTTCCCTATTTTGAGGGAAGGCAAACATCTCTTCGCTATCTGGGCTGGGCTGACTGTGACTTTATTTCATTGTCTTTTATCCAACTGTAGTAATGAGATAAAGACGTAAAATATCATGAGCTAGCCACAGCGGAGGAGGGCGGAAATAATATTTCATCATTATAGGAGTGAGTTTATTCTCCTGAATCGTGCCACTTCCCCTTATGGAATTAACTTCTATTGAGATAATTCAGTTATTCTGCTATAAATCAACTGAACCATTTCAGTTAGGCAATAGTTAGATAGCAATACAATAAATGCATGAACAAGCAAATGATTGCTGTTTCATTCACACACACACACACACTTTCACTTTAGCTGTTTGCATCTATTTTTATTGACTGATTTTCAATGATGGTTATTCCTGCATTTTTTTTTTTTTTTTTAAAAAAAAGAACAACAGCTTTTAATGGCTTGCATTCGTCTTACTGGGTTACAGTTTGCTTTTTACGTCCTAACTTTGCAAGGTTTATTGAAGCCACTTTGCCTAAATTCCCGTTTAAGAAAGCGCGTGCGTTTTAAACACGGAACGAGACAACCCCAGATGCTGCGGACCTGTGTCATTTGTAGCAAAGCAGAGGAAATAAAACACATCACAAACAGAAATCCCTGTCCGGGAACAACTGGATGAAATGATTCCTTACCCCCACCTCCCCAACGTGCATTAAATGCTTATCAAAAGGTGAAGAATTGAGAGAGGTAATTAAGATACATAACAGCTTGAGAGTCTGTGTATTAGAAATACCCTACCAAGGATCATTTCATGCTCATTCTGCTCTGGCGTCACGGTTAATTCGCTAGGGTGAGGAAGAATGAAACCTGATCAGAAAGGCAAACAAATTTTTCTGACCATGAAACATCTTCTGAAGAACCTGAGGGCAGCTTCATTTTAGAAGTGTGGCTTGCGTTCCGAAACATCATCGGCTCCTCCTAACTTTGCCCAACTGTTGGTCTTGCTCTGCAGTTACCGCTCAGAGATATTTACAGCGCTAAGATTTTTTTCCCCCCCTGAAAAGCAAGAAGTCATGCACATCAGTGAAGAAACTCACCGGAGCAGTTGCAAGGTGGAACATCGTGCTGTCTCTGTGCATCAGGCATTTCTGCAGTTGGCATCTGCAAATCGGGAAGCACAGGAATGTGAGGCTGAAAGGGAAAGGATCTGAACACATCATCCAACAACATCTGCCTGCTTGTGCCTTCAGTATTTGTCTGACAAACCAAAATCCAGACATTGACTCATGTCTTCCAGCACTCAGACCTCATTACTGAATTGGAGAACTTTGAAGTTAATTTCTTTCTTTCCCAGACAGGCATATGCGAGGAAATGGGGAAGATGGGAAAAAAAAAAAAATTGAGAAAGGAAGACAAAGGTGAAAGGCTGTTATTAAATGGCCACGTTTTGACGTCCTCGTCCACAGCTCTAATGCTTATCATTTAACCTGTTGCCTTCACACTATTCAGAACGTACATTAGTAAAAAAAAAAAAAAAAGTCATTTATTTCTTATGGCTCTCTCCATGAAAGCAAATGATATAGTAAGCATGATTTGGGACTTCCTGGCCTTTAAGGGTTCATGGTATGGGGTGCAATAGGCTGAGAGACAGAAAGTTCTCCAAATCTGCCAGGAAAAATAGCCCATCGCACTAATTTGGAGCAACTGGATTGCTGGGTGATAAGATAGACTGTTCTGGAATGGTTTCATTTTATTGATCTAAAGTGGATCTCCCAGACAGAGATGCAGCAGGAACTCCTTTTATGGGTATGGAGGAAAAAAATAATAATCTTTATGCCCAAGATACAGTAGAAAGCATAAATAAAGTGCAATTCTACAGAAAGGAATCCTGACGTAGTTACATTCTTTAGCATAGAGAAAATATCTGGAAAGGATTATCCTCCAGACTACACAAACAGAGAGATTTGGGGAGTGGCACTATAGAAAGACTGAGGCAAACATTTGCTGGCTATACAAGACCAACTCACAACAGAGTTAAGTAGAGTCATACTGGATGAAACCAAATCTTCATCAGCTCCAGGACCTGATAAGGCAGCCTCAAAATCTATTTGGCCGTTTGTCCAAAGTTGACTTTCCTTTGTCAAAGTGGCTTCCATTTTCCTAGCTATTCTAAAGGTGCTGGAGAATTGTTTTGAGCTCTCTAGAGCTGCTTTTATGATTAGAGATGACAGAGGACATGACTATTGATGTTACTAGCTTCTGGGTAGACCTCTCTCTATTTCTCTTTTAGGCTGCCCAGATGGCCCTGTGTGAAAAAGCTTTTTCAGTTTCCTCCAGAAGAAGTCTCCCCTTGGGATGGCATGGTAGTATGAGAAATTGGGGATGGTGCAGACCGCCCAAGGGAACATTTCCTACTCCCCATTTCCCCATTCTGCATGCAGGCTTTCCAATTTGGGGGGCAAAAGGAACTGTCTGCTGATGTCTCCCCTTGGAAAGCAATTCTAGATAAATTTAGTAGTGCCAACAAGTAGAAGGACAATTAGAAAGAAAATATAGTAACAATACAAATAGCATACAAAGAAGGAGAGCAATAAAATAAAAGCCTAAAAGGAATGGGGGGAGGGATACAATGAGAGAAGGAACAAGAACTGGTACCCGAATAGCAGCAGCATCACCAGCATTTTATCAACTGATAAAATCTTAGCTACTCTCTAACAGTTGAATTCTGATCCTGCAAGAGGAAGTGTATAGCGTCTACCTGTACTTAACAGTTAACACAAAACATGGCTTACAGCACTGTATACACTGAGATAGTAACTGGATTCCCACATCCCAGTAGACCTCATTTTTAAAATAAATCCCCATTAGCTGAGTTGGTACATCAAGTTCAGTAAAGGCAGAGAGACCACACTGGACTTAGTGTCTGATGTAAACTTAGCATCTCTTGTTCGTAAACTACAGTTTGTAGTCGAGCATGATGTACAAATCCATCTTGAGTAAAATGGATGAGAAACGTTTCAATGACTTCTTAAAGAAACGTTATTGATTTTCAATAAAGAATAAAATACAAGGAAGCAGGACAAACGAAGAGAAAGAAAAGTTCAGAAAAAAAGAAATAAAGTTAGAAGTGCAGAAAAAAAAGAAGAGGGAAAGAATAGGTGACTTCTGACTTCCTTTATTGCAGATACAAATACAGAATACGTACATCTTTTATGCTAAATGTATAACTAATACAAAATACTTCTCTAATCCTAAAATCTAATAATTATCAAAACCCCAAGTCCACATGGCATTTTACAATCCCGAGCAAAAAAAGAAAAACAAAAGCCATTTCCAAACAGAGAAACATTTCAGGGACTTCTCGTTGCGTAATTTTAGCATATAAATAGTGGAAAACTGGACCAAAAAGCAGAGGAACATCGCTGGGGTGGGAAAAACAAGGAAGCCTGAAAAAAGAAACCAAAAAGGAACTCTTTGTAGAGTTACAATAAATTGAAAGTTGGGGGGGGGCGTTCTAGAAAATCTGGAAAATTATTCTGCTATGTTCTCTACACCGTGGTCAAACAGACTGGCCTCTTTATTAACTCTTCTGCCTGCAAAGTCCAGCAGAAATGCATCGTTTTCTTTTGAAAAGAAAACATTCAACGGGTATTTGTCAAAAATTCACCGGGGGATGGATTTCCTCCCTTTTGGTAAACTGTACCTACTCATCCACTCACCCCAAACTCAAGCAGAGTGTCTTCCCTCCCTGGCCAAGGTTGGGCCAAACTCTACCTACAAAATCAGTGACATTTTTCTCTGGACGTCTGTATGGCATCAAACTAACCCTGTTGGTTTATCGCCTGGCAATAACTGGAAATGAAAACTAGCCAGTGTTCTAGCAGCATCAGTTCACTTTCTACCAGCTGGGGAAGAAAAAGCATCAAGACAAAGCAATACACCATTCCCTATCAGCGGTGGACGTTCACATATCCGCTGTCCAACTCACCATTCATGCAGTGAATAGCCAAGCGCCATTCATTTTCCATTAACAGAATCACGACAGCAAATAGAAAACCACGCCTGTTCCTTTCAAAGCATGCCGTTGGAAATCTATGAATGGATGATCAGGCTTGTTTTATAGTTCATTTCCCTTCCTGCCCCCGCTGTTATTTTATATGCATTTTTTTATAGTTTGATGGTTCGGCTTTGAAGGCATGGCTCTTTCAGGAGGTTTGCAAGAGCAGTATTTAGGGAAAAAAGAACTTTGTCTTTTACACATTCCAAGAAATTGCTCCAGGGTTTTCAAACTCCTCTGTTGGAATAAATTCTTTGACAAACTTCTTAACATTAGAAACACTTGGGGAAGAGGTGGGAGTGCAAGCCGGGTTATGATGACTCAGTCAGATAAATGGCTTGTGTCATCAGCTACGCTCACTTGAAGGAAAGATATTTTCCACACAAATGATAACTGAACCGTCCTGGAAAAGAAAAACATCCCATTGCAAATTGTGGCCGCACAACTCAAAGCCAAGATAATTAATTTGGGGAGAATTAGCATGAAACAAATAATTATTTTCTCCGCACAACTCAAAGCCAAGATAATTAATTTGGGGAGAATTAGCATGAAACAAATAATTATTTTCTCCGCACAACTCAAAGCCAAGATAATTAATTTGGGGAGAATTAGCATGAAACAAATAATTATTTTCTCCGCACAACTCAAAGCCAAGATAATTAATTTGGGGAGAATTAGCATGAAACAAATAATTATTTTCTCGTCAGAAGCAAAGCTCCCCCCCACCCCATTTTGCTTCTTCTTTTTTGTTTTCTCTCTTTCTCTCTCCTTCCCCCCCCCCTTTCTTAACAAGGTCGTCTATCTACTGCAGATTAAAATTTAAATGAGAAATGGGAATTCAGCATCTCTGCATTTGTTCCTAACTACAACCTTTATCATTCTTATTTCTTCGGGATGTTTTCTGGGGCCCATTGAGGTTGGAGCGCAGTGATTTCTGGAGGATCAGAGCCCTCTAGACGGACAGCTGTTTGGAATGAATGTAAGGTGCCTGTGTAATGCAACACATTAATTCAATGGTGCAGAAGTGATTTATGGAAGGTCTAAAGGAAAGCAATTAGCTTGGATTACAGAGTTATTGAATCACCTTGGCAAAAGTCCAGCTGGGCTGGATCCAGAGTTTGTAACATCAGCAGCATGGCTCTTAGGATCAACTTCCTCAGGAATGAATCAAAGCTCGGTCTGAACTCTGTTCTGGCCAAATGCCAGAACAGAAGTTTGTGCAAAAATTTAATGCACCATTCAGCTGTGGGGAGAACTGCCCAAAATATGCAGAGGACTGAAAGATTCATCTACATACTTGGTCGGTCCAAAGGTCCGGCTGTGTGCGATGCATGCTGCGGGGATCTTAAACAGCAGAATCCCCCAGTTCCACTTTTAAGAGTTTGGCAGAGAGCAGAATAAAATAAATCCCTGGGGAACTGCAATTAGCGGCCACCTTTCACAGAGTGGAAAATCGGATATTCAATCAAGAGCCGGTGGAAGTGAAATCACAGGAAACAAGATCCACCTTGATGCACCCATCAGAGGGAGTTCCTGCCATGTCTCAAGACTGCATGGAAGACAAGAGGTCTCTTCATCTTTTTTAACAAGGACTGGAATATTTTGGAAACCCTGATGTTCAGAACCATAGCTGGTCCTCTGGCTGTGTGACAGCTCAGGTTTTAGGGGGGCCAAAATGCCATTCCACCTCTAAAATTCCAACAGTGTAATGCGATACAATGCCAAAGATTGTGAAACTTTAAATCGGGGAGCTCTGAGTTCAAATTACTACCCAAACGTTTGCTTAGGATGTTTTAAGCCACTTGTAGCCTCTTCAGTTTAGCGTACTCTGCAAGGCTGCCTGAGAGCCACAAACAGACATTTTTGATTTCAGCTCTAGCAACCATCTCATGTGGTGGTTTTGAGACTTTATAGGCTCCTGATCCCTAGGAGCCTATAAATATTTTAATTACATTAAAACATTTTTTTTTCAATCTATAACTTCAGCCCTAACCAAAAACCTGGATAGGGTCCCCATTTGGGGCTGAAAGATAAGGACAAATCCTGTTGTGTGAGAAATAGGAGGTAAGAGTATTAGGTATGTTTGCTGCTTTGAGTTGACTAAAGTATATTAAAAAGGCAGGAAATAATAATAATAATAGTCGGTTGCACCGTCAGCCAGATGTTTAGACTGGATTTGGCACTTTTATCCATCTATCGAGTCCTTCCCAAGGACCTGGGATAGGGAGATGTTGGTCTTTGATGGTGTTAAAGGTATCGTCACAGGATATAAGCTGTTCCAAGTCAAGCTGCCTTTTGCAATTGACTGACATCAGTTAGTTGCAAAAAGCAGCTTGACTTGGAACAGCTTCCATCCTGTGACGATACCTTTAACACCATCAAAGACCAACATCTCCCTATCCCAGGTCCTTGGGAAGGACTCAATAGGTGGATAAAAGTGTCAAATCCAGTCTAAACATCTGGCTGATGGTGCGACCAACAATAATAATATTTTGGGGTGCCTTTGAGTCACAGTTGACTCCTGGCGACTGCCTGGGCTAGACCCTGCAGTTTTCTTGGCAAGGTTTTTCAGAAGTGGTTTGCCCTTGCCTCCTTCCTAGGGCTGAGAGACAGCGACTGGCCTAAGATCACCCAGCTGGCTTTGTGCCTAAGGCAGGACTGGAACTCATGGTCTCCTGTTTTCTAGCTTGGTGCCTTAACCACTACACCAAACTGGCTCTTGATGATGATGATGTCAGCCAATGAATGTCCTGGTTGCATCTCAACACCTTAAGAACTTCTTGCTCTGGCCCTTATTCAAATTGCTGAACTCCAATCCAGTGGAAGCCTCCATTTAGGAAGGATGCTCTCCGACTGAAGAAAACCAGCAGGAGGAAAGCAAAGAAAGGGGGGAATCCCAACCACATCTGGACATACGAGCATGAAACTGAGCAAACTCTGGGAGGCAGTGAAGGACAGGAAGGCCTGGCGCGATATGGTTCATGGGGTCACGAAGAGTCGGACACAACTTAACGACTGAACAACAACAGCAAGAGAATGCCCCTTCATCACCCTAAAACCCTTTTTATTTGGGATTCAGCTCTTCTTCCTTTTGGAGATTCTTGTACCTGCTAAGGTACTCAGCTCCCTTCCCACCTCAGTGGCAAAGGACTGGCTTTGCCCATCCTCCCAATGGCCTGTCAAGTGGTCCCCTTCCTTCCCCATCCTGTCCTTTCTTCTTTCTTGTTCCACCAACCAGCTGGCCTGATGGACTTCTTTGGGATGGCAGAAATGTGCAGCTACTTGATAGAACTTTGGGGGCCCTACCTCTAGGAGTTTTGACTCCCCCACCTAGCTCATGGCCAACGGGGCTCCCCTTGTCTTTCTTTCCATGCATTTCTCTGGAGATCCTTGCTGGAAGAAAAAATAAAATCTTGACCGCCTGGCCTGCCTCTGGGGTAAGGCTCTCCAGGTGCTTGGGCAATGCACACCCGCCACAGCCCTGCCACCTGAGGATGACCAGAGGGCTCTTCCATCACATCTGGAGAGAAGGCTGTGCGAAATGCAAGCCGACCGGCCGCTCCTTACCTCCTCTGGGGCTGGTTTTTCCGAAAACCTCCCGCTTAGCAGGTACAGCACCGGCAGAGCCAAGACGAACATCCCCAGCAGCGAGAGACCCAAGAGGCAGGAGAGCAATTTGCTCTTGCGTTTCTTAGAGTGCCGCCCGCACCTGCAGCAGTCCGCGTCTCCGGACACGGTTCCCAGCTCCCGAGAAGGCATGGCTTCTCCGAGGGGCGCCCAGCGAGCGATGTGGCTCTTGGGGTCGGAAGGCCATGGTATAAATAGGCAGAATTTGGGTAGGCTGGTCCATTCTCCGGAGAAACGTGTCGAGGGGGTGGAACCACGCCTTTTTCGGCCCGGCCGGGTTGCTGCCACACCTACGAGCCTTGGGAAAGGCGCACACACGAGAGCGAGTGGGGAGAGAAAAGGAGCGCTCGCGCGCGTTTCCTCGCTCCGGCAGAGGAGGGTGGGACCGGCGAAGGAGGAAGCGAAAGGAAAGTCCCCGCTGCGGGGGAGCGGGGAGGGGCCG